ATTATTATAACCAACATTTCTTCTGTAAGGACAACGTATAAAATTAAATGCGTGTTGCTTCCACCTGACCTCACTAGTGTGTGTGTGCTGCCAGCGACTCATGCTTTACTGTGACTCAGCATATAGGGTGATTTTCTGAAAGCTGCAGATCATGGAGCAACTTAATTATATAAGAATCTCAGCAGTCAGCTAATGAAAACCAAAGTTTCCAGCCCCAGTGATTGCAGAGAAATATTGGAAAATGCTGATACTTGGATTAAGAAAAAATAAAACAAAAAACGCCAAACCACAAAAGCCAGCAACAACTAAAATAACCTCCTTAAAAATAAGCGCAATATCTGAATTAGCTCTTTTAAGTCTTTCTTTACTCTTGGGCTCCTAGCAGGCACGGTGGGTTTCTGGGAGCCTGTCCACCCCCTGGATTTTACCCTGCTGCTGGGGGCCCTGAGCACCGCAGCTCAGCATCCCAGTGCCTGATGTGCAGGTACAGACTTCAGCAGCAGCATCGGAGAGGAGACCAGGTCAGCCACGCTGCACTACCACACCACAGGACAGGCACACGTGTACTTCATAGAGAGGAAAGTACAGATGGGAACACGGCCATGGCGCTCTGAGCTCCACACGCCTCCCACCACACCCACAACAGCATTTCGGTCACAGCTCACTTCATCATCATATTCCTCAGCAGCACTTGGGGGTCACCACAGTGCGCAGTCACCACTTTGCCAGCCCAACCTTCTCCTCCAGTCTTCCTTTCACACTCCTCCCTCTGCCTTCCTTTCTCCACCTCTCCTCCCTTTGCCTTTCCTCCCCTAGACAAAATCTAGGGCTACTTAGCACCTTGCTGTTAGCACCTTCTGGACGTTGAAGTGATCAGCAAGTGATCACACTGGCAGTCAGCATTGCAAACAGACTAGCGAGGTACAGACTACTATTGAAAAAACCCCAAATCCTCTGTTTTTCTAACAGATCCAGCCTGACGGCGCACTCAGGATGACTGTGCAGAATCAGGGTAGGTCCTGATTTGCAAGATTATATTTATAAAATCTAGAAACTGCTTTGAAAAATGACACAGTTATTTTTATAGCATCTGGATGCGCTACAAATACTTGACGTGTCTGACAAGGTTTAGTATTTTTTTAAGGTCCTTAAAAAAAAAAAGGATTTTTTTTTTTTTTTTTTTTTAAAAAAATTTGTGGGGTTTGAAAAGGTTTTTTTTTTTTTTAAGGGCCTTAAAAAAAAAAAAGGATTTTTTTTTTTTTTTTGCTGCTGGAGCAAAACTCAAATCATTACTTGAATGACCCTTTAATAAACATTCTCCAACATTTAAATGAAATGCCATTGATACCAAAATGCAAAGACAACAAAAGACTACTAGAAATAAGGGTATAATTTTTTTATATTATTGTACATTGTCATGGCTTCAACAGTCATGGCACAAATCAGCAACATTTTGTAAACTCTGAACAGTCATATTGTGTATAAAACAAACAAAAAAGGCTTCTGTAACATTTTGAGCACAAAAGGTACTAGTGGCATGAAACCAGTGTCTTTTCCTCATTACAGTAGAAAATGAGGTTTCTATTTAATAAAACCCCCAACCACAAGGCTATGTGTTTTTGTAACTGTGAATGTATGTCAGTGCTGCTGACAGCTTCTGCGCTGGAAGGGCTCTCATTATTAGCTCGGAACAGAACCACACGTTATCTTTTTTGAAAAGCAAAGTTACGTTCCTGATGAGTCAGCCGCTTTGCTGAGCTCCTGTGGGATAATTTTTGGTACTGGGCACTGAAAAAACAAATATCACCCCAAAGTTCAGAATATTTTCAGACAGCACCATAAAAGGCTGTCCAAGCTACCCAGTTCCTAAGTTAAGAAGGGAACGGGGCTGGTGAGCACGCAGCCGTAAACAAACATTCCACTTGGGTTAACTTTGCTCTCTTAGGTTCAGGGTTTAGGTCTCCGGTTTTCTCATGTTGGACCAAACCCAGCTATAAAGCAGCCATGTCCTATGCAGGACTGACTCCTAAACACATGTCCTCCACTACATTTTGGGGGACCTTGTGGTGTTTCCACACTACGAAAATGCTTTCGAAGCACTCCGCTCAGCCCAGAAGTTCACCTATTTGATAATTCTTTAGTCTTTTGGCTGAAGGTACAAAGCAGCCCTTAGGGAAGTCAGGTCTTTGGTGGACATTATGGTGACCAGTCTGGGGAAACAAGCAGTGAGAAACAGAGTAGGAAACAAAGTGCACTTATCTAGCAGCAGTATTTTGTTCTGCACCAGTGTTGGTGCTGGAAGCTAGAGAGAAAGAAGTGAGGGGAAACCCTTCTTCAGTCTGCCCCGTTTAAGTAACTACCTGCAGCCTTAGCATGAATGGCCAGAGAACGCTCATTTCTGGGCAGGGAAGAGAAAAGTTCATACAACCTTTTCGTTCAGCTCTTCCCCGAACACTTCATGAATTAGTAGTTCATCATACAACCATACTTTATATACACGTGTATATACGTCTTTTTAATATATTTGCTTTCTCCTCCCCTATCTCAAAATTACTGAACTATAACGGGTAATTCCTGAGCCAATGCTCCAGCAGAAACCAGACTTGCTTTCTAATGTTAGGGTGTATTGTAACTGTTTCAGCAATACATCAAGCAAGGAACTGTAACTGCCAAAAGCCCCCTTATCTGCATCTCACACACGAGAGCGCCTGATGCAACAACTGTAAAATTCCTTGGATGTTCCAACATCCATCCCTCATGTTTCTGTCCATATAACTTAACTCCATGGAAAAATACACCCGTTTGGTCAGGCTCAAAGGCACTGAAACGCGACCAGAAGGTTTCATGAGCGAAGACTGGTATATAATAGCATGTTACATGGATTTGGCTTTTGCAATTGTAATAGCTGGGCTAATTCTCTAGCAATATAATGAATCTCTGGTATTAGAAGGCTGATAGCTAGATCTTTATATTGACATATAATAGGCCATAAGGACTAAGGGATTTGGAGAGGAAAGGCTACACAGTAAGCAGCAATCCGCGGGGAATACGCTTAACGGAGAGGGTTACTCGTTGCAGGAAATCTGCACGTGTCAGATAAGTTTCTATTAGGCAGGTAGGATGCAGCCTGCTTTTATAAAGGTCCATTTGGTGGGTGCACACTATCCAAATGCTTGCAGTTTTCTTTAGATTTCCTGCTGTTTCACGGTACTTGTGGCAATGCCAGGATAACCACAGTGAGCAAGGTTGACTTTAGGCAGTGATGCCTACTCTGTGCTAGGGTAGAAAGCGACAGATGAACCCCACCGTGGTTCAGGGCATTGCCCCACTGTGTTTCCACCTGCAACACTTTCATGGGAAGGAGTGCATCCACAGAGGGAGGATTTTACATTTTCCTCGTTCTTGCTCTCAGATGCCTCCTGTAGTCTAGAGCTATTGCTTCATCCTTGAGGTATACAAGCCTCTTTCAGCTCTAAATCTTAGACTGTTCTTCTCCCAAGAATCTCCAGGTACACTTGAGCCCTGCATATCTTCTAATTGCTGTGAAGGTAACTCTTCTCTCCCAACCTGATGAATCTGAACACTGTGGTTCCTCATTTAACTCTTCCCTCTCCCAGTGTCAGTCTCTCCTCCTTACCTGTGTCTGTGCCAGTGAACACAGGCAAATTCTGGTATTTCCCATAGAACTTAGCCTGAATAATTTCTCATGTCTGTCACATATCTAGAGAAATCTTTCTGCAAACATATTTAAGTGGGTTTGTTTTTTTTTTTTTCATTAAATAACTTGGAGCAAATCCCTAGTTTCACTGTGAAACAAGTCTTTAAAATAGCTCAGACAAACCTTTTTACTTTTAACCACAAAGCACAAAACGTATCACTGCAAACCAAGATGCCTCCTACCTCCAGAGTTAGCATTCATACCCTGTAGCAGCTTTACAAGCATTAGCAGAAACGCGGGGGTACGTTTTGAGTTGAAAGTTCTTCATTATGCAGCCCGAGCATCATTTCAGTGCTCCGCGTAATTTTGGCGCTAGCTATGAATAAAGAAACCCCACGCTGTACTGCAAACCACTAATGCTGCAGCACAGTCCTGGCCAGGGGAAAAGGTATTCAGCGCGGTATGGCGAGCGCTGTGAACAGTGAAGCTGGTCAAATATGAGGTTTATTACTAGGTACCCTATGCTCCATTTTGGCAACAGTGAAGACGTCTTGTTTAATAGCACAGATGCAGCAGCAATGACACAAGGGGAGCAAGCGATGGCAACCGCAAGCGGCCCAGATCTCTTCCAGGCACGTCCTTTCCGAAGGCTTTCTAAACATTGCCACCTGGTGGGCCTCCCATCTCCTGGTGCCATCCATCTCCCCACTCTTCGCAGGTGACTCCCTGCGCAGATTTCAGAGATGCCAAGCTGGAGGCCGGACAGTTTAAATTGACAGCCAGCTCGGGTGGAATGTGATTTAAACTCCCATAGCTGGGGGTTAAAAAAGGGACAGCACCTTATGCATTCTATCTGCCATTAATGACTAACCCTGAACAGTGGCATTTCATGTAATTTGCTCTTTTTGCACTTAACATTGCAAAGGCAGCACTAATGATATGCAGAAGAGCTAACATTTAACAAAACAAAAGCAAGAAGACAATTTCTCAAAGCTCCCAAACAGAAGGGGAGAGAGAAGTTAGATTCACTGTTCACCTTTAGTTTTTGGGGTTTTTTTTATTCCTTTCTGCCAGCATTTCCTTCTTACTCCAACCAAAAAAACCAAATTATTTCCAAAAGGTCTGTGGCAGCTAGTTCAGCTTTTATCAGTTCTGTTTCATGAATGAATAATTCCTGATGACTTTAATATATTAATTACACAAATACGTTGCAAAGGAATATTTCTTACTATTGATACCAAACTTATCTAGCTACTGCCTTACAGACATCAGACAAGTTCTTGGGTGCTTTCTCAGTCGCTAGCACTGTAACAAACATATACAAACACACAAACATACTTACTTTGAGCATCCAAACACTTTCCCTGGTTGCCGGCTTGAACTATTCCTTGCAGCAATTTGGTACTGGAAAGAAAACATGAAAATCTTTAGTTCAACAAGCAAACAGGGGGAAAAAAAAAAAAAAAAAAAGACTCAGTGAATGGTCTTTGTCTGTATCGGCTGGGCAGTGATGCAATAGCCGTATGCTAAAAATGAAACAAGAGGAGAAGCCCTTCATTACAATACCCTAATTCAGCTGCCTTCACAATGGTTCAGTGTCTAACACATCTGCACAACAATCAGATGCCCCTCTGATATGGTAGCAAATCCATGAGGTCCCTTATGCAGTGCTACATTCAGAGTTTATTCATAATTGCCAGGCACATTGCTGCTTCTTCATCCGACCAGGCTTCTTCGGAGCACAGGCAACCAGTGATGACCGTTGTGTCATGCAACTGGAGCCTTGCTGCACTTGCCCGAGCAGCTTTTCAGAGCAAAAAAAAAAAAAGAAAAAAAAAAATCTACCATTGAGAAACACATGTACTGATACCCAGCAACTATGTTTTTGCCAATACAACACAAAAACACTGGCAATCCTTCCAAGTGCCTCACTTAGCAATGAAGTCATGATGTTGCCCGCTTGTAGCAGCCGCATTAAGGCCCGTTCCCGCCTGTGATCCTAGAAGCAATTGCCTACAATTGCTAGATTTGTCCTCGCATCCATTCTCTCAAGCGCTACATTACAGGCTACAGAAACATAAGCAAGAGCAGCCATATATGGGTTTCAATTTGTGCCATGAATTACATACTAGGGTTACGTGGCTAAGTTTCTTAATTCGTATACTCAGTCAGCTGGATTTTTTTAACAAGTAAATAATGGTTTACAGTCAGACCAGGGCTCTGGTTATTGCTTGTTTTGCATTCCTAGTCAACTAGTTGAGACAGCCCAGCAGGGAGGGGTATTCCGAAGGCATCCATCTCTGCATGACAGCACCAAACTACACCAAACAGGATCCCAGCGGGGCTTGGATTGAATCAGGACTGCGGGATGCAGGAAGCTCTCACAGGTGAATTTATATTCATCATAAACCCTGTTTCAAGAGGAGGAAAACATAAAGCGATTCTCACTCCAATTCATTATCATCTGGGAAAGGTAAACAGACCTTTAAAGATGGCTTGTCTAAAGGACTGGATCCCAGCTCCAGGAGCTGTGACTCATCCTGGCAGAGAACTTGGAAGGCTGCTAGCAGACTGGAAGGCTGAAGCTACCTTAAAGCCAAACCAGAATGGGAATTAGCTATTAAACATGTTATTGTTTCATTTCTCTGAGTCTCTCCAAGCCTCTTAAGCTTTGCTTTTCAATGTACTCTTTTTTTTTTTTTTTCTTCCTCCATTTGTTTAATGTGGAAACTGATTCCAGGACAGCTGACAAACCTCAGGCATCCTATTGGCAAAGGAACAGCAAATCCATCATGGTATGTTGGCTTTTGCTCAAGCAGACCCCCCTGAACTTAAGTTGGGATCTAACAGCACTACTCAAATAACCTGTAAGGATGGGACACTCTTAAGACTATGGTTAGAAGAAGTAATCTCACATCAGAAGGTGTTGACCAGAACTTCTAACAGGCCATAGCAGTGGAGAGACACGGCGATTCCCTCAGAAACGCGAGACTTAATTTGCTCGTGGAGCATTTTCTACACTATACTTTCTGAAGAGTGTCGTGGTTTAACCTGGCTGCCAACTGAGCACCATGCAGCCGCTCACTCACTCCCCTCTCCCTCAGTGGGATGGGGGAGAGAATCGGGAAGGAAAAAAAAAAAAAAGGTTAGAGCTGTGGGCTGAGACAGAGACAGTTTAATAAGAGAAAATAATAATAATAATAGTAATAATGAGAATGGTAAGAGAATATACAAAATGAATGATGCACAATAAAATTGCTCACCACCCGCCGACCAATGCCCAGCCTGCCCCAAGCAGCGATCACTCACCCTGCAACCAACCGACTAACACCCCCCTGACCATGACGTTATACGGTGTGGAATAGCTCTTTGGTCAGTTTGGGTTAGCTGTCCTAGCTCTGCTCCCTCCCAGCTTGTTATGCACCTGGGCGAGCAGGAGAAGCTCCTTGAGTAGTCTGAGCACTACTTGGCAACAACTGAAACCATCAGTGTGTTATCAACATTCTTCTAGTACTGAATCCAAAACACAGCACTATGCTAGCTTCTATGAAGAAAATTAACTCTACCCCAGCCGAAACCAGGACAAAGAGAGATACTTATGGCATATTGAAGACGGAGATAACAATTTCATTGTCTTCCTTAAGCAGACCTCGGTTTGAGCGTGATTTGAATACCACCACCACACTAAACTTTGTTTGTATAGTCTTAAAAAAGAAAATGGAGAAGTCCTCATAGCAGAGGTTCCTAAAACCTGGAAACTGATGATGTACCTCTTTGGCTTGACCTGCGTGTATATCTCAACAACAGCTCCTGCCTTTTTGCCTGTATGCAGGTACTTACCTGAGCTAGAGGGAGCAGTGCCATGGCTATGGCCAGATGAGATAATTAGTACTTGCTTGCTGCCGCGTGCAGTAGCGCTGCCAGGTCCCCACCTGCTCCGTAAGCCATGCCAACACCTTGACAACACCTCGACCTGTACTTCTGGCTTGAGATGCCGGAGCAGCACCCAGGCAAGGGAGTGGTAGGAAACACCAGATCATTAAGGTGGAATTTAATTTAGGTGGACAAAGGAATGCAGTAGAGGTCCTAGTTAGTGGGTGTGAGGAGGGTAACGATGGGGAGCTGGAGTCTTCTTCGGAAGGGTGGAGGGATAAAAGTGGGAGGAAAGGATGCCATGTTTCCTCCCACTACATGCCAGACCATGCACAGCGCTCAGCTGCAGACACTGCCACCATATCACTGCTCTACGTAAACCAGGGAGCACAATTCAGTTCCACAGAATTCCCCAACACACGGATGCTGTGCAGATTTTAAAATAGGTTCCCATCTCCTAAAGAGTCACCTACAAAGACATCTTAAGAAGTTACTCCTTCCACGCTGGTAAACATAGGAAAAAGGTCAAGGGGTAAAAAGCAAGAGGATAAAGATCTAGAGGATCTGGAAAATGGAAAAGACCTTAAAACGGGGAGGGGAGGGAATATTTCTTTATAATATTTCTCTCTTTAAACAACAATTTAAAGAGGAATCTCAGAAAATCCCACATAGTGAAATAGGTAAGAAAAAATTATTATGTATTTTTCAAGACAGGAAATTATTATTTATTCAATATTTTGAAGTTACACAAGTTACACATAGCTGCAAGTTCCCTGTATTAGACTATCTGTTCCCCTGGTGGGGGGATTGTGTTGGGGGAAACAGGCCAATATTTACTAGAAAATGTTACAAACAGAACTGGGCAGATTTTACTAAGAGCCGATGACTATTCACACAGCACATTTAGTTATCCCCCTCCTACAGTCCACTCCTGCAACAACTTGTGTCAGGAGGTCGAGCCCAGCCAGCGGGGGTTGGACTGGTGGGCCACTGGTTTCCAGTTAGGTGTTCAAAAAGTCCCTCAGGGGTTCCCTTGCTTGGCCAGGCTACAGCCCTGTAGCTTATACTTGCCTCTTTCTCAGATGCAGTTGAGTGACACAACCTGCCCTTGATCCTGGTGCGTGCTGATGGTGGCCATGGGTGGATCTGGCAGACTCTTGCTGCTTGGAGTTTGGGATCTTGGGATGTTCAGTGGACCACTGCTCTTTGGGGTTTATCTGGTCTTAGGAGGCTTTCACATGCTCCTTCTCAGTGCATACTTTTCCTCCCTGTGAACTTGTTTTCTGGTAGCTATTGCTACATCCGCAAACTTGTTGAATGCATTCGCACAAACTGACGCAGAAGGGGTTTCTATGACAGTATCTCTTGAAATACTGTAAAACATTGACTTAATTCTGAATGAATACTGACCGAAAAAAGAAACCCAAACAAAACCAAGGATTGGGCAAGGGGTATATGAGAAAGCAAGCTGAAAGCCGAACAGCTAAGTGAAATAAGACAGTAAAGCAAAGGGAACCTGCAGAAAACAACTTACAACAGCTTCTAGAAGCACATTGTATAGTCCTACTATGAAGAGTAGTACCCATAGCTGTTAGTTTGAAGGACCAAGGAGGAAAAGTTAGGACAGAATATTATTAAGGTGATTTAAACAAATGCCTTCTAGTACATTTGATTACATATTTTCAAAACTTTATTGCAGGGAGCTGCATGTCCTACATAGGTGCAGAGCCCTGTCTTCTGCGTACCAGTGGACCGGGTGCTTTCTGCCATACTGCACAGATCTTTTTTCCTCCCCCCCGCCAAGGGCTGGGAATGTGATGTTGCATGAAAACAATTTGTAATATAGGCTGACAGTCACCTATTATTGCTTCAAACATCCTCAGTGGTTATAGAAAGCAACTTCAAAACCAACTTATTTTTAGCAACTGAAAGAATTCAAGCAAACCCATCATGGCTGCTATCCAGGGATTCTGAGGGGAGAATAGCTTGACAAATTACAGAAATGGACAAACTCTGAGTGTAAATCAGAAAACAGTGTATATCACTATTTATATATGCTTTCCTGTTGAAAAGATGAACTGAAAGATTAAGGCTTCCAGCGTCCAAGGAAAGAACTGCTGTTTTGATGAGCTGTGCATGAATCACAAAACCCAAAACAAACCCCCTCATACACTTAGTAGTTGGGCAGATTTCTCAACTTACTGTTAACAAACAGCCCAACCCTGTGCTGTCTCCCTTGCTCCTGGGTAAGTCCTCTGCACCCACTCAGGGCCGGGCTCCGCAACAGTATATGGAAGGCGCAAAGACACAGATTCAAAGCAAAGAAATCAAATAACAGAGCTGAGTTTAGTACTATCTCCAACTCCAAACCCGTGAGAAATTCCCTACTTTGACCCGGAGCGCTTCACAAGGAAGGCAGTCCCAGAAGACCCGAGGTGCTGCTACCGAGCGCGCGACAGAGCTTCCCGCCTCCTTTGCTCTTGCCATTTCAAACACGGCTTCATCCCAGTGGTTCCACTTCTCTGCCAGTG